TGTCCTGCGCCCCGCACCTGCGTGTTCCTGAAGTCCCGAATGCCTCTGCCTTTTCTTGCTCCAGTCCAGGTACCTCCGCAGACCGCCACGAGCAGGGCCCCGTTTTCCTTGTATTTCTCTTTCTTTTTTAGCATGTTGATCTGCTTTTTGACGTCTGTGAAATCCGCTCCCTGCTCGAGACCCTTCCCGTTGTGGTGTCTCGAAGCTTTTGCCCAGATGTTACGTTCCACGTCCTTCATGATGTGGTCGATGACGTCTGTCGGGTCCTCTTCGCGTCCTGCTTCCATGGCCCATTGATCACCGTTGCTGCCTGTCCATCTCGTCGGCGCTGCAGGGTCCCAACCTAGATCTGTCAACTGCAAGATCAGGCTGCCGATGATGCCCCTTCTTTTTTCTCCATCTCCCTTTGCGTGTGCCTTGTAGCATTATCCGACGGATGTTTGGCCATGCTCTGTGGACCGCGTCATGGATGTCGGGGTGTCTCGCCCATAGGTCGAACCAGCATGTGATTTGGGCGCGTGGAACCGTTGGTCCTGGGTCACTCCCTTCCAACGCTAGAGTGCTCAAGCACCTACCTGTCCACGTACGTCTGAGTGCTTTGCCATATTGTCTTCTGATGCGTTTGATGTCCGATGGTGGGCTGCCAAACGCTTTGCATCCGTAGAGCACCGATGCCATTGCCCCTTGCTCCACGATGCCTTTGATCTGCTTGGTGTTCAACAGCCGCAGTTTCTTGCCGACCTTGTTGAAGATATTCCCTGCTTTTATCTTTCTGGCCCTGTGTGTCGCTCGCGATGTGGTGAGCTTCGCGCCCCTGTCGAGCCCCAGGTCTCGCCCTTCTTTGATTGGCTTGACCTTGATGTTGCGCTTGGCGAGCTGCTTGGCGATGTTCGCTGTGCTCTTGCTGGTGGGGCCGAAGACTACTGACTTTGCTGCCATCTTCAGGTTGTTCCTTTCCAGCTGTTCTTTGAGTGACATGACCTGGTTCACGATGTCGCTCACCACCGACGTCTGGCTGCCAGTGGTTCTGAGGCTAATGTCATAGAACCAGATTCTGGGGTTTGACATCGGCTCTTCGTTCAGGTGCTTCGCGATTGTGGCTCAGACCAGGGCCCGCGCCAGTTTGTTGCTGTGTCTAGAGCCCGCCAACAAGGACTTGCTGGCCAACGTGCGTTCTCTGTAGCATCCGTCTTGTCGAAGTAACCTCGACGTCATGTGCTGTAGTAACGACATGGCCAGTATGCGTGCTGGGAAATTGTAGCGCTGCGCTGCACGAGCTGCGTACTCGAACTCGACGTTGTCATAGAACCTCTCGATATCCATGAGTGCACCTGCTGTCGTTGCTCCTAGGGCGCCCGCTATCTCGTCGTCGATGATTCTGAGCATGGCCTCTCTCAGGCAGCTCTGTCCTGGCACTGCTGCGTCCCACGGCAACTTGATCTCCATAACCCAATCTCGTACTTGCTCTCGATTAAGTAGTTCCCTGCATCTGCCAAACCAGCTGAGTAGTGCTAGTGCTCTGTCCCCTCCTGTGCTGACTGCGTGGCGCGCTGGCTGGCTGTCTCCCTTGGGCCCGAGCATGATAATCCCCCCCAGTACTTGCCAAGGCCATGCGATGGCCTTCTCGCACTCGTTGCACAAGTTGACGAAGCTGTTGCGTCCCTGAGCTGGAAGGCGACTTAGTTCCGTCATGCACATCTGGTCTACCCCTTTTCTTGTGTCTGGCGCACCTTGAATTGCCTGGTCCAGCTGCTCTAGTGTCCATGTCGGTGCCTCCGTACGTTGTGTTGCCCGTCGTAGGTCTTGTAGTAGCTCCACGTCTGCAGCGTTGTGCCCCGCGTGCCAGATGTTCTCGAAGATTTCGAGCTTGGTGCCCATATTGCCCATAGGAGAATACTTCTTATCGAGCTTGTGCAAGAGTTCCTGCTCGTAGCGTGTGCCGTCCTTCGTGATGGTGTGCATTCTCCATGGCGCTTCTTTGGCTGATGTCGTGACCCACTTGATGCAAGCATTCCTGCCCTTCGCAATGTATTCTTTGAGCGCTGTATGCGCTTGTTGTTCTGCCTGTATTCGCATGCCTTCTATTATGCTGATGTCCTGCTTGTCGATGTTGAGCAGCCGTGTTTTCCAGATTTTTCTGTAAAGTCTTGCCGTTGCCGATGCTTGATGACCAAGTGGTAGTAGACCCTCCACTGCCAGCAGCCTGCATGGTGTGGCTGCCCTGTCCTGCATGTCTGTCCCACGGTTGCGCTTCTTGCGCTGCTCGATGGTGTTCAGGGTGTTCGCCGTCCTGTGCCACCAGTCAGCGTTGTGGTCCGTGTAGCGTGCATGTCTGGGTCCTCGTTCTTTCTGCTCTTTACATTTGAGCTCGTTCGGCAGGCATCTTCCCATGAACAGTTTCCTTTCCTTGATCGGGATGTAGTAGGCTGCGCAGTAGAAGTTTTCCATGTCCTGCATGAGCTTTGCGTACTGCGCCCCTAGCTCCACGGCCTCGCCCTCT